TCTGAGCCACCTCTTAGTTCTACTGAATCAAAAGCCCCCTGGAAGTTATATGTTTTAATTACCTCAGCTGAATCTAATGCTTAGCCTGATTTGGAAGGGCTGTACCAGTCTATGGTCTATCTCTGCTTGAGATGCCAAATTAATGGTTGACATAATAGCAATTACATGTTTGTTTTAATAGAAATATATTCATCCATTTTTAAAACTTCATAGAATGGTACATTTGCTGAATTGAGAGGGGAAGTTTGTTTTCATGCTTACATACAAGAGTACTCTATTCTTTGCATAAGAATCATTCTCAATTTAAAAGTTCACAGTTATAGAACACAAAATTATAAAGTAGTTGTTTTTAAAGGTAGAAGTTTATAGACCATCAAAATATCCAGCTCTGTGGCACACAATTATGTCATTGAGCTACTATAGTGACTTATATTTTAAGATATCTGAGGATATAACATTAAATTCTTCCAATTTAGTTACTGTCAAAGTTGTATGGTGTTTACAAATCTAGGACTAAGTTTATTATCATTGGCTAAGTCAAGCCCAAAAGGGGGGAAATTTCTTGAGATTTTGATCTAGATTTACCTTCTATAGCACAGTTCTCTGAGGACATTATGTTTTGCCTAGTTCATGATAGGGATATTAATAGAGAGCTCATATTTCTAAACTATCTAGGAAAGAAAGGAAAAATATTTGATCTCTTTACCTAAAGTGATTAACATGAAGTAAACTTTTTTTTTGAACCATAAAAATTTAGTTACTGGTATTGACTCCATTAATTCCCTAGGTAAGAGCTGTGCTTGAATGTGTAGGATCTAAGAGTTAAAAATTGGCATTTTATCCTAAGAAAAAAGTGATATTACATGTGATGGGCACCTGGTATTTCAATGAAATTGTGTGACCAGTATGCATCCTTTTGGACCCGAATCACTTCATAGTTTCATACTCAGTATTTTCACTCATTCCCGCTACCCAGCTTCCTCTTACCTGCCCATTGAAATTAGACATAGTAGAGTGAAGACATCCTCTCCCATATCATGCACTGAGCTTACTGGTTCTGCTGCCAGTGGGAAGTCTGCAACTGATTGAGAGAAGCTGGTCATTCAGGTGGTCTGTAGCACCATCACAAGGCCCTAGCAAATGTCTAGCCAATAATGAAAGACCAGTTGTCTGGAAAATGCAATTAAAAAATATATAAATACAGATTTCCTGGTGTTCAGAAGAGTTGAATGAGTCATTGTACCATTTGGCCAGAAGTTTTCTCTTCTACCTGCAAAGTCATGTAATGAGGAGAAAGTGCCAAATGTGTACATCAAAAGCAATAGTCAAGAAAGTGGAATTCTTAGCTCCTTCAGAGCTAAGAATTGACAAAGGTAATACAACATCTCTTACAACTATTTTTGGTGTCTAATTAACTGGAACGGTGGACAGCCTAAGCCATGATTTTTTTTTTTTAAATATTGCTTGAATATGATGAAGACCTAAAATATCCCAGAGAAACTTGGAATAATCACCTACCTAGCCTTTGTTATTTTAATTTATTAAAGTGTAATTGTGCACAATCTAAGTGTATAATGCAAGGATTTTCTCAATGAACACAACTGTGTACCAATACCCAAATCAAGAAATAGAACAGTCTAAGAGACCGCTCTTACAACCTTCATTTTAGGACTTTTCCAATCATTATCTTACTACTCCCCACCCCACTCCAGGGAGATAAATGTGCTGACACTTTTCTCCATAAATTAATGTTGCCCTGTTTTTTATACTTTTGTCACTGGTTTATTTTAGTCAATATTTTGTTGAGTCATATTGTCGCTAGAATAACTGTTACTTCTTAATCATCTCATCCACTTTCATTGCAGTTTTAGTATTGTACATCATTCACACACAGAGAATGCTTTAGCTGTGGCTATTATAAACTATAGGCTTTATAGTATAGCCCGATAGTAAGTATAAACTTCTGAAGACTAGTATGCTTCATTTAAGCATTTATTTTAGTGGGAAACTTGTACTGAAATCAAATTTTATTTTGTGGGGTGTAGCGGGGGGAGAGTGGGCCTTTTAGAATTTTAAGGTATAAATTCTAAGCCTGTAGATGAATTCCCTACATGGTGATAGGGCTTTTCTTTACCTGCAGATATTGAACTGTCCTAGCTCTTTGTCAGATTTATTGAAAAGCTACCCCCGAGAAGGAAGGAGGGGTGCTCGACTATCCCTAGGATATCTTCTGTCTCTAATTTGGTCTTTTCTTGCTTGTTCACTGGACTCTGCAGCTTTTCTTTCTCCATATTTGGAGACAATGTGGCCGCTAGCAGCTTTTCAGTGTTACAACCTATAAATTCTATCATAAAAGGGAATGACATTATCTTTTCAGTATAGTTCAGAAAAATCACATTTACTACCTATGACCTGTCAACCATGATCAGGGAAGGGATGATATGCTGTGACTATCTTGCTCGGACCTACCCCTGGCTGGCCAACTGTGTTTAGTACAGGTCATTTTAGAATCACATGGGGAGAAGAGGACCTTCCTCCTAGTGGGGTGTTGCTAGCTCACGGAACACTAGACATCCATGCAACCCTGCTATATAGTTCAAAGGCTACAAAAAAATCACAAAAGATTGTTTTATTAAAGCTATTTAGAACTTTTAAATAAATTCCTAGATCATACACTGATTATAATTAGGGTCCCTAAAGATATTTGAAACTCTAGTCTCTACCAATTTTAAAGTTATAATTTTTTTTTCAAGTTCTTCATTCCCTCTCATCCCTGCTTAATCCTTAGTTTATTCTCTTTTACCAGAGCAGTCTTCAACGTTTTGTAAAATAGGGGCATGGTGTTTATAAATAAACTCATCTCCTCCCCCAAGCAGTAGTATATATTTATGGATCTATAAAAGCATAATAAAGTATTATAAAAATGTAGACTTACGGGGTGCTTGCCAAAATATGATTGTGGTAAACCTCTGTGGTTAGGAAGATGGGGAATGTGACCTAGAACTAGAATAGAGGTTTAGACCTTTCCTGTTGTGTTTTATTGTTTTTATTTCTAAAGTAACTCTGGGGTCAATGTGGCCTTAATGTGTTATGCATTTGTGTGATGAAATGTTTTTTGTCAAATTTCCAGAAAAAATTGACAAAGGAATGATTTCTTAGGTTGATCATATGACACTGCTGCAGCATCACTAGCAAGTAGCAGAGTGTGGTTGTGGTGCACACAGACCCCATGGGGCCCAGCAGCCGGTTCCAAGTCCCCAGCGCATCACTTCCTGCCTTAAGCACGTTATTTCATCTTTATGTGCTTACATTTTCTCATTTGTCAATTGCAAAAATTAATTTTCATATTGAAATTTCTGTCTCATTTGCTGTGATGTATGTAAAAGTTAATATATATAAAATGTTTAGAACATCTGGCACATAGTAAGTACTAAATAAATTTTAGCAGTTATGTGTGCTGCTATAATAGGGACAGGAGTGACTTCATGAGTGTATTTTATTCATTTTTTTTTAAACCTACCCTCATTTTAACTTTATAAGGCAGATATTTTAATATAGAATAGGAAACTGCAAATTGGAAAGTTAAGTAGCTTGAATAAATATCAACAGCTACCAAATGACAGAGCTTTGGAATGCCAAAGCCCCTTTTTGTAATAACCTTTGCATTTCATTACTACCAAGAATTTCATTCTTAGGTTTCTTAAGCAACTTCCAAATAAATCAAGAATATAGGAAAATAGGTATAGGTTAAATAAAGGGTAATTTTAATAGTTAGCATTTTTAAATTATCCACTGTGGTGTTTACTGTTAGCTGCTTTCAGAAACTATTAGGTGCTATTACTCTAAATTCTTTTACCAACCTACATGTGAACATTCTATTTCCTTTTCAGAAATAAAATGTTCATCTCAGAGATATTACATAAAGTGTGCAGGGCCATGTAATGACTTAAGTGAAATACAAGACCATGCCTGACATTACATCATGCTTCATTTCATTGTCATGAGGCTGAACTAGTTTTCTCCAAGGTCAGTTACTGTAGCTTACTTTTTATATATGTATTCATGTATATAAATAAATAAATGTATGTATTCTGGTTTTTATTCATTTGACCATCTATTCCTTGTATCATACAAAAATTGAAGACAAAGAACATAAACTATTTAATCAGGGGTGACGCTTTGCAACTAAGCAATGTAAACCATTTCTATCATAAAGCAAAATATAATCCTCAGTGGTTTTTTTCCAGCTTGTTTTCCCAAGGAGAAGAATATTCTTCTTGCCCATGAAAATGTAGTAAATGTAAAAGTTAAGATTTAAAAATTCTCCAAATTGGCTTGGTAGATTTTGCCAACATTTAACAGTTAAATTGTTGTTACTGATTTTCTTTAAAGATGTGTTTATTTATATATAGAAGAACTGGGGTGCAGGTGAGAAGTACAGGGATGAGAGGATTCACCAGAGACAGAGTGGGGAGCAGAATAGGCAGATCAACTGATCAACTGATACATACTACTGAGGGTTGCAGGAGAGGGCTGCAGTGCCATGTGGCTAGCTCCCTGCTCAGATATCGAACTCATGCTGCAGTGGCTGGTGATAGTTTGATAACACTAAGACTCTAGCCCCTGCGCCACCAGGGAGGCCCTTCATATTCATTTTTTTTGTAGAATATTCTGTTGCAGAGGCTTGATTTTCAGAGCCGTTTCTTATCCTGAAGAAAAATGTGTGTATATTCACTTCTCTACTTCCTTCAGTGTGAGATTCAGATTCTTCTGCTTTGAATAGATCTAAAAACATTTATCATGATATAGTTCTTCACTTTTTGTCATTCTCACTCATTATAGGAGTTTAAAATAATACCTAATGTTTTCTGTGATGGGTAGATGGCAGTATTCCAACAGTGAGAGTGGCGTATCTTCTAGTTACTCATCATCATGAGCACAATATGTCACTGAGTATCCCAATACTGTGATGAAAATGAGCAAGTCTTCTCTTTCCCCAGGTGATCAGACTCTGAGAATCTGGGATATGAAGGCAAGAGGAGTCAGAATTGTGATTCCAGCACATCATGCAGAAATTTTGAGTTGTGACTGGTGTAAATACAATGAGGTATCGTATCTTGCTCTGTCCTGAGCTGCTGAGTTCTTCCCTAATAGTGAAATTTCTAGATTTTATTTCATTTCATTCATTTCTAGATTTTATTTGAATTTTGGTTCTGTTTATAGACCATTAAATTACATTCAGTCTCTTTCATTTCTAATTGATGACAGTGAGTGACCTGTATTAGCTTTAATTGGATTTAAGTGCACATAAAACAAGCAAATTAAGAACAGAAGTTCTGAAAGTTCAACAGTGCAGCCTTACTTGTTTGTTTGACAAACTGCTTTACAGTTTATATATATTTTTCTAGTATCATATAACTTTTTCCTTTATTGCTCTTAACCCCAATAATTTGTGTCATCTTTTGCTTTCATTTCATGTTCACTTTGCTGCTCACAGGCTGCTGAACTATTTGTAACTTGATTTTTAATTTGACAGTCCATCAGTTTTTAAAATTCTGTTTCATCTTTACTCATAAGCTTAACCAATCTTCATGCTTCTATAAGAGCAGTGTCCATGTGTAACTGAGCAAAGCTCTAGTTAGTCACATGAGCATATGAATTCAAATAGAATGAATTAAATATATGTAGATGTACTATCAAGTATGTTTAATGTACCTGTCTGTTGACTATGATGTTTTGGAAAATCTTACGCTTCTTGTTTTCATAAATTAATTTATGAAAGTTAAGAGAACTTAACTTAAAGGTCTCTTTAAATAAAAAAAAATAGTTTAAAAGAAATTATTGTAGTTAATAATAATACTTTCTTTAAATAAAAATTTCAGTGCTGATGATTACAGTTCAAATCACTGTCACAATTTTCCATGTAGGAAAGTGAAAATATGGATTATAATACTTGTAATACTTCTAATAAGGTACCAGTATACACTAGAGAGTTGTTTAAAAAGATTTTCTTTAAATTACTGAAACTTTCCTTAAATGAACTTAGACTGAAGCCCAGCACATTCAGACAATGAAGCACTATTCTACTTGAATAGGATGGGCCTGGGTGTGGACCGAGGGCTTGACCTATTCAGTGGAAGCTCTGGGTTCACCTAGGGCTCTCCATTAGCAGGATTTATAAAACTTCATTAGATAAGAGACTTACAGCTGTTTGCACAGACTGCAGAGATGATGAGATGGCAAGAGGTGGCTCTTGAGTATCGGGGACAAGTGATTTAAATTTAGAAAAACATCAAAAGTTAATGTATAATCCTTTGTTCTTTCAAATATTCTTAAACTGATAGGCATCTTGCCTTTTAGTGTCTGATAAAACCTCTGAGTGTGTGCTGAAGAGAAAGGAGGACTCGTTTGTCAGATACAATTTTTATACCTTATGTACTTACTACTACTAGGGGTGGGTTGTAGAATGCACAATGCTGTTTGGAACTGTGACTTTTTCTGTTGTGTGTAGAGTTCCATCAAACATATTAAGCATATGAAGCTCCTTTTCTTTCAAATCATGCTAATTTTTGTGTTTTCATATGTACTTTGATTCCTTTCTATGCTTTGTGTGTGTGTGTGTGTGTGTGTGTACACACACCTGTGTTTGGATTAATTAATTACCAAATTATAGATTTTGTTCTCAGTATGAAGCATGGGAACTGCTTAACTGCACAGATGTCACCATTTATTTTTCTTTGAATTGTTTTCAGAATTTGCTTGTGACAGGGGCAGTTGACTGTAGTTTGAGAGGCTGGGACTTGAGGAATGTAAGACAACCAGTATTTGAACTTCTTGGTCACACCTATGCTATTAGGAGAGTGAAAGTAAGTTCCTGTCTTTTCTTTGTGTATGTAGAATAAAAATTAAAATATACATATAATCAATGAAGTATATGTAGAAATGCACATAAGGATTGTGAATATTGATACCTTTTTATGCATGTTTTTATGCATGTTTTCTCAGTTAGTGATAATGAATTGAAAGCTAAAATTTGGTACAATATTTAAATGACTAAATGAATTGGTATAATGTAGACAACCAGTACTTAGGGTTAAATAAAAATGTCTTCCTCATGCCGTCATCCTCAATCTATTCCTTTCGGTATTTTTTTAGCTATAGTAGTTTACTTTTTGTATTTAGTCTTTATAATTTTCCTTCAGTGGGATGGTCTCTCTATTTGATTGGAATGTATCTTAAGACAGTTAATTCTTCTGTTTTCCTAACATACAATATACAAATATTCACAAATATTTAGGGTATAGAGAAAATTTCCACTGTATAGGCGGCTGAGAACAAAAAGCCTTTTTGTTGTTCCCAAGAAATTTGCCCAGCTATAAGTTTACTTGTTAGTGTACCAACTTTTAATTAGGTAGAGCTTACTACATCACAGTAGAACACCTCTTGTTAAATGACATCTCCTAATTTCATTCTTTGTTTTTTACATAAAACAGAAAATATGTCTTATTGCTCTTGTCAGTAAGATAACTATATTACTCCTATTTTTAAGGTTCTAAATTTAAGTTAATACTTTAACTTCTGTGGTCTACAATGTAACATATGAGATACAGTGTTAGCCCACAGGGTTTAATAGTTGAAAGATATTTTCTAAGAATTAGATAAGATACTGTAGGAAGAAATTTTGTATACTGTCAGTTATATTCAAATGTAGTTGTATATTTGTATATAGCTTGTAAAGTACTAGTAAGACAAACACTGAAATCATTGCAGAGGACGGCCTATTAAAGCATAAATTTACTTATCTAAAAGGCATTGATCTTTAACGCTACAGTTTTTGACTTTGATAGCACTTTCATTAGCTGTGATATAGAAATAACACAAAAATTATTTAAAAGATATTGTTAAGTTACATTACATTTTGATGTTTCATTGATATTTGTGCTTATATATAGGATATATATTCATTTTATCATATAATATATATTCATACTTTATTAAAATATATAATTATGTATGTACTGACATATACTAAATTAAACCCCTTATATTTGTAGAAATTATTTTTGGATATCAATATGAAATTGTGTTTCATTTTTCCAGAACAGCAACATTTTGGGAATATTTTATCTTCAATAAGTTCTAAAAAGCTTGAGAGATGACTTTCTTTTTTTCCAGTAGATGGACACTGTATAAATCCATAAGGTAGTTTGCCTTGAATTAAAGCATATTAGGTTCAGAAAAGTCCTGACTGACTTTATGTTAGTCCTGACTGACTTTAATTTTATTGTACTATTTCAGGGAATTACCATCTGAAGTAGCATGTTAGAATTACAATTAATCTCACATTGTCTTTTCTTTTTTTAGTTTTCACCATTTCATGCTTCTGTATTGGCCTCTTGCTCCTATGATTTTACTGTAAGGTACAGTAGTTTTTTGATAAATTTTATTGTGAAATACCAAGTAACAATTGTATCTTTGCAATTTTAGGAAAGCTAATATGTTTATTCTTATTAATATAATCTGAATTGGGCACACTCGAATATTTACCACTAGGATTAATATTATGTTTTTCCTGTTTTTGTGATCTAACCATATCTATAAATAAATGATTTGCTATTTAACAACCTGTCTGTTTAAAAACCTTTTTTCCAACTTAGTTCTGTGTAGCTCCATCTTACTATATTGTTCTTAACCTTTAATCTCTAACACTTAACACAACTTCTGTCTCCCACTCAACAATAAAGACTACTTTTTTTTTTCTGGCAATTGTTTCTGTGGTAATGCCTTTCTATTGGGCTGTCAAAAAAGTCATATTTTTTTGTTTTTTGCTACAAAAATGCATCATGACTTTTCTGGCAATCCAGCATACTACAGATTTTATATCCATTATCTTTTAAATTTGATTTTTTTCATATCTGTAAAATTCATTCTTCAGATTTAATTATGTGCACATAATTAGCTCACAAAATTAAAATGAAGATTGTTTTAGATGAAAAACATCCATATCAGTATATGAATGATGGTGAACATATACACGTAAATGTAAGTATATGTGTGTATACTTACACATGTAAGTATAAATGTGTATCTATCTATATAGAAATATAGAAGTAACTCCATACCTCCCACACTACATAGGATTCATTCTTTTCTCAAATTTATAGTTCCTGATTTCCATTATCTGTAGTATATTTACTTTTTTGCTTGGAAAGTGGTTTCCAAGTTATAAAGTCATGCATCTGAAAAGAGAATCTCATTAATTAGAGTTCAACATTTGTTTAGTTCTTTCATTTATTCCAAATGTGTTTAAAAATTGTTTAGAATAGTTCTCCTCTCTTCCATCACTGTGGTCATATTATTCATTTGAAACTTGGTTTGAGACATTTCTTTCTGTGTCTATTCAGTTTTAGGGTTTCCTAGCCATCTTTGTTGATTTTATTTATTTGTTTATTGACTTAGGTCAGCAAAACATTAGCACTGTTGCAAAAGTCAAGGTACATGTAAAGATATATTCAGAAATGTGTCATTTTCCCCATTCTATTTCCCTATTCTCTCCAATTCATTCTATAGGGACTTGCACCTTAAAGCTAATGTCTTGATCAGATAAAAGACATGTATATTTATTTATTTCCCCTTTTCTTACATAAAAAGTAAAGTACTCTGGATATTTTTTCAGTTTTTTTTTTCTTTTTACTTAAAATATATCTTGGAAATCAGTTGATTATCAGTTTATAAAGATCAGTCTCATTCTACAAACATTACTTGATGTGACTATATTACTACTTATTTAACTACTCCTACATATGGCTATCTAGCTTTTTTCAAATTTTTTTTAAAAAAAGATTTATTTATTTGCGCATACAGAACTGGGGTACAGGCCAGAGGTGCAGGGGTGGTGAGAGGATTCACCAGAGACAGAGTGGGGAGCAGAACAGGCAGATCTTCCAACTATACTGCTGAGGGGAGCCGGGGGCCAGTCAGGAGCCCTCTGCTGAGCTTTGTGGAAAACCTCCGGGACAGGCAGGGATCAAAATCATGCAGATGTGGTTTTAGCTTCTTAGTGCTGTGCTTTAACCAGCTGTGCCACCAGGGAGGGCCTTTTTAAATATTTTTAAAATAAATTATGACACAGTGGGTAATAACCTTGGATGTATGTTCACATTGCTAGAGAATTAACTTCAGAGTATATTCCTAAAAATGGGATTGTTAGGTTAAAATGTAAATATACAGTTTTGATATTTGATAGTACTGAATTCTCATTCATAAGGAATATACCAATTTCCATTTTAAATAGCAATATTTGAGAGTGCTGATTTTGTTTTGTTTTAAGATTCTTATTCCATACCAACAATCTGGGCAATGTTTTACACTATGAAATTCCATGCTGCCTTTCATAATTTAATGTTGATTGTTAATACAGTTTTAGGCAATTATATTCCAATACATCAATTGTAATTTTACCTGGAGGCAAGCAAGAAGGGTGGTTGGTAGAAGGGAAGTCCCTTGTTTACAGTTAATTTGTGTAAGAAAATTCAGCTTGATATGTCTAACATTGAATTAAATTGAGAAAGGTTAGAAGAATTTATCAGTTTAGGTTGTCAAGATGGCATTAAAGAAAGGACTTAGAAGGCTGATGTTATATTAACTGGCAAGCCTGTCAGGTGACAGTGCTGTTTTTTGCTGTCACCTGAAGATCAGTGATTTTTTTATTTCTTAGGGTTTTTAGACATAGGATTGCATCATTTACAAATAAAAAAATTTTACATCATCAGTTCCAATTCTGGTACTTGTAATTGATTGATTACAAGTACCAGATACTTCTAATATAATGTTAACTGATGTTATGGAGAGTTTCTGATTCTTGTTTAGTAAAAATACTGTGGTCTCTCTGTTAAAAGTAAAATGCTAGCTTTGAGACAAAGTATGTGTGTTATTTATCATGCTAAGAAAATATGCATCAATTTCATTATTCTTGATTGTATTTTTAGATTTCAGAGATAGATTTTAATTTTTGTTAAAGGCTTTTCTCAATGTCTATGTTTCTTACAGCCATTGATACAATGTATGGTATTAGTGGAGTGAGCCATCCTTGCATTTGTGGACTAAATCTCTCTATGTATCATTATCTTACTGTATGTTGGATTTGTCTGCTGATACTTTGTTTATAGCTTTTCCATTAATATTTAAAGGTGATATTGGTCTATGATTTTCTTTCTTCTTTTTTTGTCTTATGTTTAAATGTTTTGCTTATAAATGTTTTCCTATATTTTCAAAGTTCTGGAACAGTTTGGGCAGCATTGAGCTACTTGGATTTGAAGTTTTGATAGAATTTCCATGTGAAACCATGGAAATTAGTGCTTTATGTGAACTACTTTCTTGATAGCTTTATTTTTTTTAAAGATGTTTGAGCTTTCTTTCTTTTGCTCAGTTTTGAAAATTATCCTTTGCTTATAAGTTTTTAAATTGTTTAGATATCAGTAGTATCAAGACTTTCTAATTTCTTCTGTTTCAATGGTTATTTAACTTTTAACATTTCTAATTTTGTATATATGTGATTTCTTAAATTGTTTAATGGTTATTTATTATTTTTCTGCAGCAAACAGGATTTTGATGTGTTGATTAGAGCTACTGTTTTTCTGTTCTGTACCTTAATAATTAATACTTTAGTCTTTATTACTTCTGTGTTGGTACTTCTGGTTCATTTTTTTCTCCAGCTTTTTGAGCTAGGAATTGATTTTTATTTTTTCATTTTGCTAGTGAAGTCCTTAAGGTTATAAATTTTTTTGGTTTCAGTTATAAATATGGGCCATAGAGTCTGATATGTTATCATTAGCATTTTAGAAAAGTGTAAGTTCTGTTTGTAGTTCCCTTTTTTCCAAGAGTAACTTGTTAGAAATTATTTAATTTCCAAATGAATATGACTTTTAATTCTTTAAAATTTGTAATTGAGTTTTAGTTTTACCACTTTGTAATCAGAGAGTACTGTTTTTAATCATATTGTTTTTCTGAAGTATATTTGGGGGAAGTTAGGTTATAATCAATTGTTGTTAATACCCATACACAGTTGAGAAGAAGATATATTTTCTTTTATCAGATTGTAAAGTACAATATATAATCCAAAAGCTTTACTTAAGTTTTTTTAGATCTTCTAAAACTCTTCTAGGTTTAACGTAGTTGGGTTGATTTCAGTATTCTGCAAAAATCTCTTAAAATGTTAAATGGGTTCTTTAGGTAGATTAAAGTCTTCCTTTACTTACAGCTTTTTTAAATTATAATTTTAAATATTCTGATTTATTATTTTATATTCTATAGGGACTCCAGTTAGGACTGTAGATATAGATTTGAAGGCCAGTTAACTTACTGACAATTCAGTCAGTAAGGTGAAATAAAGGAAGATACATTTGGAGAAAGAAAAGCAAAAAGATTGGTTCTTCAGGAGGAAATTACTGTTGAATGAAGGGGTCCAACAAGTCGAAGAAGGGTAGTGTTGTGGCACGAGCCCCTCATGTGCTCTGCAAAGTTGCATGTGTGGGAGTCATTCAAATTCATAACCACGTAAGGCCACTTCTGCTTCTCCTCAGACTTGTTATATATTACCTATATATTTGTTAAGAATTATTTCTTTGGTAGAGAGCCTAATATCATAGAAAAGGAAACAGAGATCAAAGCCCTAGATTTGCCCTCTCTAGAGTACCTGGCCCATGTCAAGCACTCTGTAAATTTCCTTCTCTTTCACATATGTGTTTGACATATGTGTTCTCCAACCTTTGTTTTCACTCTGTATTCCACTATCAATATATACTCTAGTATTTCTGTTCAAAATTGCTAAAATTAGCAGGATCACAAAGAGTCATTTAAATCATGATGTCTGCAGTTTATTTCTAAATTGTTCAGCAATCCTATTATTTGATATGTGTGTGTACCGAAAGGAAGATAGGCAAATGTCCCCTTAACAGTTGGCTAACCTAGGTGAAGGGTTTTTGGCTGTTCATTATATTATTCGTTGAATTTTTCTGTGGGTTACTATTTTTTAAATTAAAACACTTGAGGAAAAAGTAAACTATAGTTGTTCGTGTAAAATAAGACACTGAAACTGTTTCTTGTTATTACCTTCTGGTGAATGTGATATTTAATGATATTGTTTAATTGTAAAATAAGATCAGCAGCTTTATTATATTGCATGAGTGGGGAAGAGAGCTTTAATTGGAATGTAGTAAACTTAGAATCCTAACAAAGCAGCAGATACAGAAATACCTTTTATCTTTGTCATATTTACTCTGGTGGGATTTGCCTTTATATAGTAAGTGTCTTAACTTTGGTGTGGTTGATGGGCTTTTTTATCCTTATGTTTATTAGCATAGAGATTTCCATGGGCAGATACTTCTTTCTTCCCCTTACCCACAAAAAAAGGTCAGCCAAA